AGCACGCGCGCGAGCCGATCGCGCTTTGACGTTCGTTTATCGGGAGCGATGCCTCGGCTCTCTAGCATGCCAGGGGCTTAATGGTGGTTCGGAGCTCCAGATGGTGCACATGTATCGCGCTGCTCCACGGGAATAACGCGATCTCTTCCTGGTGATTTTCAGAAGAAGAAACTTCACATGTTCTCTTGATGCATGAGGGAAAAATTGAAAGAAAAGAAAGTATTAATAAAGTGAATCTCCTTCGGAGGTTCCTGTAGCTACGCGAGGAAGATCGAGGGAAGACAAAGGAGAGAGAAGATAAAATATAAACGCGTTTGAAGGTTTCTCTCCGAAGTGAGAGAAAAGTTTCAAGTCTGTTTCGCTACAGATGTAGAATAAAAATAATTACGCGGTAAAGAAAGTTTTTATGTTTCGCTCCAAAGTGAGAAAATTTGTAAAAAAGAAATTGGAGAGTGCTGTTTATAGGTTGTTATAGATAGTTGTATGAAAATTGAAGAAGGAGGATCGATAGGATCGTACGTTTGTTTTAATAAGAATTCATTTAGAATATTTCAAGTAGTGGTGATCAGTGTTAATTTCACGTTGTGCTCGTTAATTCAACGAGTTTTCAGTGTGTTCATTTTACATCTCGATCAGCTATCACTTGTTACATTCATCGATTTTCTGCAATGAGAGAAATCATGTGTTTTTTGTTTGGCGTGTGCTGAGTTCGGTCTTCAACGCGTGTTCTTGCATTCATTCTTTCAACGTTTTATGTGCTTTGTCGGCTGTTCTCCATTGCTTTCGGATCTTCGAAGGAATTTAAAACGAATTCTTCAAAGGACGATACATATTTGTTTTTTCTGTGATGCTTTAAGATTGTAAAATTTCATCGCGCGAAAAACTATTCCGCCCTAAGGTTGTTTGGAAATTCGGATTCTCGACAATTCTCACATTATCAAAGGAAAGTTGGCTAAGAAAACCACGATTGCCCAATTCAGATTTGTATCGTCCATGAGAAATTTCATTTTACAAAAGATCAACTAAATTTCCAAGATGAATACAAATTCTGTGCTCTGTTGGGTAAATTTTTAATCGAATAATTACCAAACCTTTTTTCGTACTCACCGTTTTCTAACGTTTTTGTAATAAAAAAGGCGATATTTTTCAAGTTGCGACAAATTCCACGTCGAGGTTAAGCACCCATTTCGTTCTCAGCTGATAACATTACGAATTTTTCACTCAATAAACGGAGCGTTTGAAATTGATCGTAAAATAACAGGTGCATACGTGTTCGGTTATAAAAATTTACGTTGAAATTGGAACGGTGATTCGTACACGGCGTTAAAGTTAGAAATAATTTGTTACATTGCAGTCAGGTTCTCGCGCGTCCACCGACCAGATAAATTTATTATCGCGCACCGCAAAATGGGTTCGTTGAACGATACAAGAAACACTTGGATCGTTGATCTTTCGAATTCTGTTTCAACCTGAGAAACGTTCCAATTTTCCTAACACGAATCAATTCAACAACTTCCGCCTAATTCTTCGAATCGAAATCAATTCTTATAATTACAGGTACATCTTATAAGCGTTTTTTTTCTTTTTTTCGTGGAAAACAAAAGTGTTTTCACGTCTTCCTTAATAAATTAATCGTTAGATCTATTATAATATCGTTTATGGTTATTACGTGGAGAATTTGTTACATTAGCGCGTTAGCCACGTGAATTTTTTACCGCGTGATTATTTGTATTCTAAATTTGTAGCGAAATATTTATCAAAAGCTGTTTTGCCTTCCTCAAATGGCTCCCGGAATAGCTCTCTCTTGGTTTTCTTAATGAATGAGTGCTCTATGCCTCCCGTCCTTTATTTTTTTCTTTTTTCGTCCGGTGAAAGTTCGAGGAAAGGGAAAATGTTATTTTCCGATCTGAAAACAATAAGTTTATTGATAAATATACGTCTGTATTTAAAACAAATCAGATGCATCGCTATTTTATCTTTCATATTTAACTGTGAGATGAGAACGCTGTGTTCCAGTATTGTTTTATAATGCTCAATAACTACGTTAGTTTCGTTTACAAAGTAAATGTAATCTTGAAGAGAATTTTCTCTTCTGTCTGAAAAATCCAATCACTTTTTCAATCTACAGCAAAACTTTCATTCGCAGATCTATTAAATATATATCTTCTGAAGTGCAACATTCTCTAAAAATGGTAGTGAAAGAGATTGAATATTTTTCAAACTAACAACACAAATTTTCCTAACTTTTCGTCATTTTTCGATATATCTTTGAAATCCACAAGATTTTCGTCTTGTTCCACATTAAAATTCCATTTATCCTCCCTACGTAATCTTCGATCGTAAATAAAATATTAAAATAAACTTTTCATCGTCTTCTCAGTCACACGGAAAGTCTCAATTAATATGTCACCGGGGAGAAAATTCAACAACAGATCGGAATATCACGGTTGGATCTTAAAGAATTAAACGCCTATTCGTACCTTTATTTTTAGATAATCGCGCTTTGTGTTCTAAATAGTATCGACCGCGTTATTATCGTCCGGCGTATGACAAGTGACTGCACTCGCTAAAGCGAGTCCTCTGGGTCGCGCGCGTCCGCCATTGTTTTGTCTTCGGGCGAAAAAGAACGGCGGGTATGCTCGCCTCTTTTTATGTGACAGCCTTAAAAAACGCCTTTTCACACCGGTGACAAATCTTACGGACCGCTCCTCACTGACACATTTATCCTTTTATCTTACACGCTTGCCACATACCGAGTCTCTTCTTTGAGAATAGTTTTTATGCAAAGGGATTTATCGACTCCGACGATCACACTTTTATCGCTTGTCCCTCGGAAGAAAGTGATACGAGTGTGAAATTGAAGGAACACGTTGGTATTGGTGCGATTCTTTTTTTCTTCTTCTCGTTCAATCGAAGAAGAACTGAATGAACCGAAAAATAATCAATTTTATGTCAAACTTTCACCGACAATCGTGAAGAAACGACGATTCGTAAAGAGAAGTCTTATTTTTCCACGTGAACGGAAGTAACGTTGCAATTAGTTAGCAAGAAATTACGAGGAACAATGTTTTTTTGTATATTTTCGTTGATCACGAAATTGAAGAAGTTCAGAAATGGCGACCAACCCTCCGAGGAAGCTCGCCTATATCTGAGCAATTAGTGTCAGTATGTTTCAGACTAAAGCTCTAAACTGAAGGCAAATATTTATCCGTGAATTGGTCAGTGGACAAATTGAGATTGAACATGTTTTCACAAGCATTTTTTATTGCATCTAATTCTAAGCTCACTAGAGCGAACCGTCTCTTTGTTTCATCTTTCATCGTGCCTTAATTCAGAGACGAAGCGTTCCTTCCATTACGTCTTTTCGGACTCTATCTTTCCTTTCATTCTTCAAATTTACGTGAGAAAATATACATTCGACGAAGAGAAGAAAGCGATTTTCTGTCTTCAAATACGATATAAAAACGTTTAAACGTTTCTAATAAATTATCAGACATTCAATCCGTTTGATAAGATACTCGATCACTTTTTCACACGATTATTATTATCTCCTATCATTTTTTCATTTTCACGTATTTCGACTTGGTACTTCAAGAATCACACTAATTCCATAATATCCTTTCACTCGAGTCTGGCTATTTTACTGTTTATCCGAAATTTTCAATGAAAATTTATGTAACCGTTCAATTTCGTAGTAGATCCGTGTGATTAGTTGCACGAGTTTGAAGAAGACAGGTTGAAAGCGTCAAGAATAAAGATGTGGTAAGCAGGAAAATGTATTTCTGCGTGTTGTCATCGTGTGCATTTCCGAGCGGGCATCAGTTCTTCGCCTGGTCCCGTTCGTAACAAATCGCGTTCTCGTACGCGTAAACGCTAAAATAGAATGGCAGGCATATTAAACAAAGCCACCGTGATACCGTGAATACGGCTCCCCTTGCCTAGTTCCTTCGTGTTTCGTATGATTTCCCTTAACACTATACATAAAATATGATTTAACGCTTCCGTTGTTAAATAGAAAACAAATATCGTAAAGATCGTTAAACCGAAAATATCATTCAGTCGTGAGCCTAGCTTTTTCACTATCCTACTAGAAATCAGACACGTAATTAGAGCGTCCGTTTAAACAAACCAGGAAACTTACGAGCTTTCTTCTTCTCTACACGATCGAGAGGGAACAGAATTTTAGGTTGAAAGGAGTTCAGCAATTTCGAGGATCTCTTCTTTTCTCTCCTAAACATTGATATTCTCTGTTAGAATTGCGGATTGATAAGAATTTATCAGCCTGTCGTGACTTACCAGTGTCGACGATGCCTGTAAAGAAATATTTAGGAATGGTTGAAAATTTGAAATCTCGAATTCGGTGATCGAGTTTTCATGGACATGGTTCGTTGAAGAGACTTAATGGTGAATGACAAGCCTATTCTGATGGTGATCGCGGAAGCTTGGAGTAGTACAACGCGAATCGGCGTTAAAAAGTGGATATTTCTGTGTGTCGGGATCTAGTGTATCGTCGTGACCACCGTTTCGTCCAACGAAGAAGAAAAAGCCCGATAGAAGTTTCTTAGAAAGATCATTTTAAGGATCTTCCACGAGGAAGAACCGTTCGAAGCTTCTCAGAAACATGAGTGTGATCTATACGTATGCGAATATCTCGAGAAAATTACTCGCTCGGACGTGCAGCACTTCGAACACCTAAACTAAGAAGAAAAATAACTCGTCGAATGAGAAAATATCGCGTGGAAATGATATGAGCTTAAGAAGAATGCGCGAGAGAAGACTGGTGACGGCAGAGGATCCGACCAACGGGTTCAAAGGATCCCGCGTCGTCGCGATTATCAAGGGACTTCCCCTGACCGAAGAAAGGAACGAGTGTTGGCCAAAAAGAAGAAATCGTTCAACTTAGATCTTAGACCAGAGGTGATCCGTTGAATCTGTTAGAAAGACAGATAAAAAAGTGGACGAAAGATGTGAAGAGGATTTATCGTTAATCGCTGTCCAAGATGTTGGACATATTTCGGGGCCTGAAGAGCCTGATCAAGATCTCTCACGTGCACATCGACACCGCTGTCTTCAGATTGCACTACAGCCTAACTGTGATCCTGTTGATCGCGTTTTCATTGATCGTCACTACCAGACAATACGTCGGAAATCCCATCGATTGTATTCACAGCAAAGATCTACCTGAAGATGTGTTGAACACTTACTGTTGGATCCACAGTACGTATACGATCACCGCTGCTTACAGGAAACGGGAAGGTTTCGAGGTACCATTCCCAGGTGTCGATAACTCCAAGTCTCATCCTGAAACCGAGAGGAAGGAGTACAGGTACTATCAGTGGGTTTGCTTCATGCTGTTCCTCCAGGTAATCGACCAGTCGGTATTTATTATTTCACTGTTTGTTTTAACGTTGTCCGCTCTCTCTTGTGTTTGCTTGTTTGGATGCTGGCTGGTTTGTGTGTTTTTAAGGCAACTGTTGAGTAGAAAATTCATAAACCGTTCGTTTCGATACCGTGCTTTGATACTCGTGTCAAGGCAACGAATTATCTTAAGTCTACGATACAGTGGGCACATCTGCTATTTTTCGGGGATACGAGTATTTCAGTTTCTCAGCATGTTTGTTAATTTTACGATTGATTACAACTTTCGAACCTTTTCACACAACGATTCGAATGTATTTTTATTTACGAAAAATACGATCTCCTGCACGTTTTTGAATTAAACCATACAACAGATTTGACAAATAATTCATTTTCTTTTTCGAAACAGATTCTCCTCGATTCATCCGTGTTTCTTTAACTGGCGAACTATTCAAACGAAGCTTGAGATTCGAACTGTTTATCGCAGGGAGAGAGAGAGAGAGAGAGAGGGTACTTGCAGAGATGGTTTAACACGTTCACCCGTTAAAGAGACGAGAGAGGGTAGGCGCGAATCTGTGGCGAGAGATTCGGCAACGAGCAAAGCCGGATAACGAGCGAACTGGTTGCGGCTATGCTCGAGGAATTTACCCGCTGCTTACAGAAGCTTATATCTAGTTCATTGCCAAGAAGGAAACCCTAAGCATATTAACTCGTTAAACCTGTAGTCGTTACTTCGTCGTCGAGGGTCGCTGTCGTGCTCGTTGCCTTGACGCTTGGTCAAAGACGCTCCTCCACCCTCACCTTTACTGATCTCTTCAACTAGAACATGTTGTTAAACGGAATTAGATAACTTTTTCATTGACTTCGTATCGATCGTCACATGGTAGACGGTTGTGCACGTCGATTTCCTCAGGAGACACCATTTTATCACATTTTCTACTAGTTGCGTAGCGTTTATTTGTTTCTTTTATGTATCAACGGTGTGCAAAAGTTTTCATTTGTTTTTCTCGGGGTTCTGGTGTAATTATTTTAAATTCGAATATTTTCCCGCCTTTTTTGTATTTCTAAGGTAACAAATAATTGCGCACCCTTGATACATTCGTGTACTTAGATTTATGTGGAATTTACCTGATTCTTATAGAGAACCTCCCCTAAAGTGATCGCTTTAGATTTTTCTGTTCTTAGTGGAACGATCGAAATTTTTTTACGTTGCATCGTATAGTTCCAAGTTTTTATCAGTTCGTTCTTTTTTTTAAGTTTTCGAGGTTTTTTCGTGGCATTGTTAATCGACTAATTTTGGGGAAATGAAACGTTCGATTAACTTGTTTTCGGAAACATTTAATAAAGAATGAAATGTGAGGAAGTTCGAGATGAAGTGATTAAATTAGCAACACTCTTGAAACTAAACTTTCCTAATTTCGACAGCTGACTTAATTTCAAAAATATTCATCGAAGATTCTCAAAATCGTCGTTCCAAGTTGAATTACCTTTCGTAAAGATCTTAAATATCATTCGATATTCGTTATCAATTTACCTCCATTTATTTTTCCAAATTTTCCACAAATTCTATTCAAATTCACAAAATTCGCGCAGTATAACTATACAAACGCAAAGAAATTCGATGTAACACCTTTACAAATTTTTCCAATTTGACAAATAATTCTTCAGTTACGAAAATACTGAAATTTTTCGAAAACAACTTTACAATTTCAATTAACGACAGATTTTCAATAAATTTCCGGTAAAATTCTGCCCTATTTTCTCGCCCATTTCACATTTACAATTACTTATTTCGAATAGAAATTGGAATGCAATCAGTGCACGTCTTTCACAGTAGAAAAGTCAATTACTGGGTAGACAAATTCAGCGAACGGGTCGTCTAATATCCCGTCTTCGTTGATTAACGCAGCTTTTGATGGGAACAGAGTTCCATAATTAGCTGAACATGGAACGAATCCAAACTTTCTGCCGGATAATTAAAATTATCTCCATTAATACACGAATATGATCCAACGCGAGTAATGCAGAGACCCTTGGCTCTAACTATAGAGCGACAATGACCTGAATGTTCCACATTCTTTTTACTCCCTTGCTTTCGAGTACCCGTTTTTCTTTTTACGACATGTAATACTGGCCTGAAGCCAATTCTTAATAATCGTGATATATTATTAAACGAGATATCATAACGCGTGCATCTTTCTCATTTCTTCAACCGCTACGTAGTCGAGGGAAATTATTAATACTCCTTCTTTCGAGCACCTCCGTTAGAAATCGGAACTTATTACTTCCCTTGAATCTCTGTTCTGTCCAATAATTTCGTACATTTTACACGTGGTTATTGAAGACTTTTTTTCAACGTGTCACCAAGCCAAGTTGCAGATCTTCTCTTCTGTAAATTTATAATTCGTTCAAAATTTTAATTGCAACGCTGCAGCTTTAGTAGTTTGAAAAAAGGAATCTTCCAGTGATCAACTTATCCGTGATTTTGGAAACTTGAAAGAGACACTAATGTCTGTAATGTTCAATATCAATTTTAATTTGATTTTAACAGCTGATATTAACGATAAGTTGAGTGAAAGATCGGTCGAATAAAATTTCACCGAAACAAACAGTTGGATTTATGGATTAACAACGAATAACGATACTTTCTCGAATTATTCTCAGCTCGTCGATATTGCAATCGGTACAGTTCTTCTTATGAGGAGTATTTCGAAGAATGATGAAAGGCATACTTTGAATTTTATAGTTTCCTCGTGACTGAAAAGTGAGGGGACTTTGAAACGAAGCTTCTAAATTTAGATATTTACAACGTTTACTTCTCTTTACGAAATTACTCTTCCGTCAAAATGTCGTTCCTCTAGGAGACATTTATATTGTAGAAGAGTACCGCAGAAAAATTGGAAATCTCCAGTAGCAAATATTTATTTCCATTCGAAGCAGTTGAAATTTGAAGAATTCTAAAATATTTCAATTTGTTTCTCCTAAAAAGAAGGCTTCGTGTGAGTAAATTTCATTCGTTCGTTTCAGTTCACTTTCTCACGTAGAATCGCTACTTTCTACAACTATCAGGTCATCCCGTAAGTTCGTGCGGAAAGCAAAAAATATTCGAATGCAAATCGAAGAAAATACCACAACGACGATACAACGATCTAACCAAGAAAAAATTTGCGAAATGTACTTACGTTTTTTTTTTTTTTTAATGAAATTTAAAGGTTCGTGAAAAAATTCGACACGAACTTACGGGCTGACCTAATGTACACTCGCAAGACACCCCGCGTAAGGTGAAAATGTGGAAAGTAAGAGTGATAAGTGAATTTCAAGACAAGAGAAAGATAGTTAGAAGATCATATAAGTTATGTGTTTAGCATCGAGGCCAAGGGATGCCTCTCAAGTTCGGCCAGTCTTTTAACGGCTTGCTTCCGTGCTCCACGTGTGTCTGTCACCGTGTCCGAATACTCTGTCCGTCCTCTCGTCGCTCTTTCACCTAATTTATATCCCGTTTTCGTTTCAAAATTTCTCCGGTAGCACCCAGGCGCGTGTGAATTTCGCGTCCGATTGTGTTTCGAATCGCGCCGATCGAAGACGTAGAAAATTTCGAAGAAGATATACTTTCCCTAACTTTCATAAGGCGGGGGAAAAATGAAGGAGAACGACGAAAACGGGAAGAACGAAAGAAACAAACGCGCGTGTTTTAGTTTGTTTAATTTAGTGTTGGAAAGGTAAGAAGAAATAGTAAGCAAGATGTTCTCCGTTCGAGCGCAGAAATTTCGTCACGTGGAGTCTTCTGAGGATAATCACGAGGAACGCGATGAAGAAAACGATACGGGCCCACAGTGACGAATATTCTTCCTTCTCTTCTTCGTTATCCTTCAAGATACGCGTATTAAATATTCTTTGTGTTGATTTAAAGAAAAAAGTGCTATACGGTGATTTGGTGAGGAGATAAAATTTATGCAATTTTTGAAGAAAGTACATGAAAAAGCGAATAGAAGTCTTCGCAGAGAGTTTAACAAAATTGTCTAAAATTGTATACACCCGAGATCTTCGTACTCGAAACTTCGAAAACTGGTTACCTTTCTTCAACCGAATACCCCAGATACAATATTTCTCCGAATAAATGTACAGAACGATTTTCACGTGGACTGAAAGTTTGAAAACCGAACACTCTAAACAGTTACCCAGATCGATTTAACAAAAACCCTGACTACGGCAGGAGATTTTCAAAGGAGAACGACATTCTCGATACGAAAAGTAAAACAGTCGAAAGAACGAACCGTTTCGATGAAACCCAAATATTCGAAATCGACTCGAGAAGAAGATTTGCGTCTCTTCCATCTTAAAATACCGAAGTTCCCGAAACTGGCTAACTTGCATCGACAAAACGTCGACTGAAGCTCGAACGAATCTTCAGAAGAAGAAGAAAAAAGTCGAAATACAGTTCCGTGTTGAAATCGACAACGTTCTTGTCCTCCACGCAGAAACGAATCTGGCTAACGAGGAAGAAAACGACTGTCTTCTCGTCGAAGAGGATTCCGCGTGCTCGAAGAAGATCCGTCGGCCACGGCAACGATTGAAAATGCCTTTGATGGTGAAGATGATCGACGTATTCGGCTCTCTGAGATCCTTGTTCAAGATTCAACGGATCTCCGAGGATACGTTGATTTTTCGTCTTCATTATCGCGCGACAGTGGCCCTCCTGCTCGGCGGATGCGTCACGTTGGCCTGCAAGAGCATTTCCGGCTCGCCAATTCACTGCGAGGCCTCCGGTTCCGTGGACAAAATAGTCCTGGAGACGTTCTGCTGGCTTCACACTACCTACAGCATGGTACACGCTTTCAATATGAGCTTGGGACAAGCAATCCCTTATCCAGGTGTCTCGAATAGCAAAGGAGTTGGAATACACGGGCACACGTCTCATCCGTTGGTCAAACAGCACAAGTACTATCAGTGGGTCATCTTCTTCCTGCTGCTGCAAGTACGAGACTAATTGTGGAACTGTTAAGGTGTAGAAAAATCAAAGAATTTAGTAAACATTTATCGCAGGCAGGATGGAACAATTTTTAAGATTGCTACGAACCTTGAGAATTTTTTGAGAAAGTTTTCATTCGTTCATTAGCACGGTTTGCTACCCTCTTCAAATTTTCTGCCCTTAAGCTGCATTTACACCGTATAACGTAATATTTTGTGTAGCAAAATTATGAAATTATGAAATTTATTTTTCATAGGAAGTTATATGTTGTATAAAGATGAAACAAAGTTACAAAACATTTGCCATCTACGAGATGAGAAATGTTAGGCGAACTTGTTACAAGTCAATTGTCATAATCTTGTAACAAGTGATAAAGTCTCATTGCCTCGTATAAATTTACTTCAACGGTGCTAGAAGATTTTTATAAAAATTTCACCGAAACTAATAGTGTTATTAAACAGTTTTCTCTGAAAATATTTGCTACACTAACAAAGACTGGTTTTTATTAATATTTTATTTAAAAAACATTTCGACACTAAAAGTTTGTTACGCTAATAGGAGCTGATTTTTATTAATATTTCATTTAAGAAATATTTAACTTTTAAAACGATCCAATATTAATTGAAAATTAATTATCCAAAAACATCAACTGTAAGTTTCAACGTTGTACAATTTCTCGTAAAAATAGCAGATGCCTGATCTGGATGAAAAAAAAAAAAGAGAGAAGGCGTTTCCTGGTTTTCTGTCGATCAATTGTGACCGGATTATAATCATACTCATAAGTCAAGGTTAGGTTGCAGACCTTCAACTGGCTTTGCTCAAGTAGTATAATGCGAGAATCGCGCTCGATGTGATCCTCGTTAATGTAGAACATGGGAAAATCTGTTTGTCCAAAGGTTAGGTTATTCGTAATTGAAACTAGAAGTTCATGGAAACAGATCTTATTAATTAACAATTATACACAGCACACTTTTCTTTAATTACATAAATATTCATTGCTGAATTTCCACCAGATCGAGATGTTATTAAACCTAACCTTACAATTTTCTCTCGCGATTTCCACAAGTTTCGATTTTTCCAAAATTTCTTCAACACAATCCTTCTAATTTCCCCGAAAAGCTCAAATCGTTTGGTCGAATTTGAAAAAAGTTGTTCTTTTTTCAAGATTGCACGATCAATTCTCTTCGACTCGCCGTGTATATAAAATTCGCGTTAATTTTTCACACGTTAGAGGTAATGTTGGATTATTTATTTGTTCGTCTGATAAAACATCTATACAGTTGTTAACCGACGAGTGGATGTTATGAGTCATTAAGTATGGTGGGTTTCCACTTGCGTTGCTCGTCCTAGCGACGTTCTCTTCATTTTGGAAGAGGAGATACACGCGTAACGAGGGAAGACAAGAGGTGACTGTCACGTGTCCAAAGACGTTCCACTGGGTTTTCCGCTTGTTTGGCCAATTTTATCCATTTGCCGGCTGCTGCCTCCACATGGCCAATGGCGTTCTTCTTTTTCTCTGGAAGTACGAGGAACACTGCATGCACCCAACTGGCACGTGAGCACCAGCGAAGTATAGTTAGCTTCGGTCTATTTTCATCCACGGATTTTCCCTTTTTGTGGCGGATTCGCATGGACGTAGAACGCGAAAACAGGCCGACCCTTTTTCTCTCTCTCCCCTTTTTTCTCTTTCTTCGTTGCAATTTAAAGCTCCGTTGATCTATGGCTTTTGCTCCCGAAAACTATTCTCGCATCTCTACAGCTGTACTTTTCAGCTGCTTTGTCGGAAAGTAACGTGTTTCCTTTGACAAAAAACGACAATGGAATTTTCAATAAACGAAACATTTATATCCTGAGAAATTTTCAGCGACGAATAATGAAATGTGATGAAATTTTATCGGTTCGTTTGCAGAATTGTTTCTTTCGAATTTTTGATCAGAGAAATCGTACTTTTGGATTTGTTTTTTAAACACCTTCTGCGATTATTGTCGGAGAAGCTTTAGTAGAGGTTTCGATGGGAACTGATACGAATTAAGAGAAAAGATGGCAGAGAAGTGATCAGAAATTTGTTTATGTGTTTATGCAGAAAGATAATAGAAGAAGAAGAAAAGTTCGTGGTATAAAGGAATAGTGTTTATGATATCGTATTATAGTTACGCCAAAAGTGTGTTTTAAGAATATACTGTACAGTGTTACACGAGAGTTCTAGATGAATCATGTTACTTTTTCGTTCTTCAGCGGCCTGAAAATTACTTTAGATAGCGAAAGTATTTCTTTGTTCGAAAATTAACAAAAATCCTTAATCTCGAAAATTCGATATTTATCTTCTTATACTTAAAAACCTACAATCATCTTTCCTCTGATTCTTTAAACTGACGTATTCCAATAATGGAAAAATAATTTCGCATTTCTCTGTATTTTGAAAACAGAACTGTAACCAACTTATTTCCATTTTCACTGAACATTCAAGTTTGTCCATTACGACCGGGACACCCTGTATATGCAGACGCGTGAATCCTACTTTAATCGCAACACTCGAAACATTTAATGACTCTCGTAACGAAATTTCGCGGCTCAGGCCTTTCCACAATGTAAACTTGTTAGCCAAATGAGCCGACCTTAAGATGAACAACAATTAATCAATCCGCTGGATGAAAACAATGCTGCCGTTTATTGCGATTTTATCGTTTTCGACGAAATGCACAGCTAATTCGATATCTTTAGGCGCGTGCCAAGATTCGAAGAACGACGCTCGATGGTTGATTGCCTATAGTCGATCGAGAACTCTAATTTCACTTCGTTGCCAATCGGCGAACGAGTTAACGTGTGGCCGTGGTACCAGATTCGTCCATGCTTTTGGCATAACTGGCGCGTTTACTGCGGAAATTTTGCCAAGTAAGATGAAACAACGCTGAAATAGTTAACATGTATTAGATGTATCGAATAAAGAGTATCGCTATTTTGTGTCCAATTTATTTCTCAATGATGATTTATCAAAGCAACTACCACCATTTTTCAAGCTTAAAACGATACTTTCTATTTCCTAAAACAGCATTTTAAAGATTTGCACAAAGGGAATGAAAATTATAGAAAAAAATGTGAAATTCCCAGAAAAGAGGTGAATTTAAATTGAAAATTATAGCCCCAGAGTTTCCATCTTTAAATATACACAATTTCTAAGTTATAAAAAAAAAAACTGCACAAAGGGAATTTACATTTTTCACATTTCCCTGCAAAAGAATGTTAATCCTCGAGGACTGAATTTAAATGAAAAATTGTACAGGAGAATTTTCTTGTTTAAAAATTTAACTACTGTAACGATGTAAAAAAGAAAAAACATTGCACAAAGAGAATGTTTCACTTCTGTTTGTACAAGTGAAACGTTGAAAAATCATTCGTTTAATTTGTTTCGTCGTTTCTTTTTCCAGGCGATCCTCTTCTACACGCCTCGATGGCTGTGGAAAGGCTGGGAAGGTGGCAAGATTCACGCGTTGATGATGGACCTCGACATCGGCCTCTGTTCCGAGGTCGAGAAGAAACAGAAGAAGAAGATGTTGCTCGACTATCTGTGGGAGAATCTTCGCTATCACAATTGGTGGGCTTACAGGTACTACCTCTGCGAAGTTCTCGCCCTGGTGAATGTGGTCGGTGAGTGGTTATTTCTTCTCGACGATCCTCGTACCCGTCCCGTATCTTTACCTCGATTTTCTTATCATTTTCACAGTGAGCCTGGAAAGAAAAAAAGAACGAACTTTAAGAAGTGGAGGCAACGTTTCTTTAATCCGTTTTCTTCTTAAAGCCTTCCAAGAATACGACACTAAGCTCTCTCTCTCTCTCTTTGATCTTCAGCATCTCAAGCGTTTCTTTGACGAACGAATAAACCCTGGTCTTTTGCCTTGTTTAGCTATTTTTAAGCCATTTTACGTCGTCTTCACGTCGAAGTTAAGAAACTCGACGAAGGTTTTTTGGGAAATTTTCGACAAATTTATTATATTTTTTAAGTTATCTGGTTTGAATTACTGTTTCGAAGAGATAACGATATTAACGGAGCTATTTTTGCATTCTGCGATGAATATGAATAAGAATACGAGTAAGAATAATTTATTAGTTGAAATATTAGATTTGCTTTGTAAATCGACGTTTGTTAAATTACAAACGTACGAAAATTTGAAAATTTCGCGTTTTACGGTTTATTAGAATTTTCTTGCGTTTAATCGTTTTCTCGAGTATATCTTTTAACGTGTAAAAAGGTTTCTAAAATTGAAGGCGCGTCGACGGGAAAAATCGCGGAGAATCGCCTTTTTTTTTAAATACTCCGGAACTAGAAAGCTTGGTTCCCTTGGGAAAGCAGGATCGTTACAATGAAGTCTCGTCTCCGCGCGATGCTATTTCGAAATTTCAAACAGTCGCCTCTGTTTCCCGCGAAACGCGGACGCGATGCGATATTCTGTATGTTTCTCTTTGGCTGTCAAATTTTCCCATTCCCTTTCCTTTACCATTTCCCCAAGCCTAACGGCCGCCGCGTTGATATGTTTATCTTCTTTCTGTTATTTATTTTGTTACTTTTAACGGTTCTATATTTCATCGTCGCCAGACGAAACCTTAAGACCAACACGTTTGCTTTCGTTGTTTCATATTTTTTCCACGAATTAGCCTGCGCACAATCTTCACACGATTTCCTCCAAACGAACGGGGAACATTTTTCCTGAAACTAATTACATTCGGTAACGAATAACGTCGTTTTCCAACAATGGGGAATGTTGTAACAGGTTGTTGAAATGAATGAACGATTCACAATAAAATTTGGCAACGATACAGCTGGCCAGCAGTTCAGCAATTTATACAACTATGTATTTGTCACTTTTCTTGAATGGTTACCTTGCTACTGTCATAGTTCTGTCAACAATCTTTACTTGTATCCACTTTGTTATCTCCTGTAAATTTCAGCACGTTAATTTAAAGCTGCTTATTCATTGCATGACAATAATTCAAATATAATGTACTAAATACATTTGAAACAACATGAGGTAATTGGTTACAATTTTTACTCATTTTTAAACTAGGGAGAGATTCAAGCTCTGTTTGAAATTGGTACACTGGTGTCCTTATATTTTAGAACATCCTGGATATCAGGAATGTTGTTTGTTTCACAGTAAATTTTCATAGATCTATAACTTATTTTCATCAGAATTGCTTCTTTATGAAATTCCAAAGGTCTCTGAAAACTATGTTCATAAGTCTACAATGTATCTATGAAATTTCGAAATTAATACTCTTACATGTTTAGGGGAAATTTGTATCAGAATTTCTGGTACACCTTGTTTAAATGACAAACATGGACAATAGATATGATAAGGACTTGAATTTGCGCAGGTCAGATGTTTCTGATGAACCGGTTCTTCGACGGTGCGTTTCTGACGTTTGGTATCGACGTGCTCAGGTTCCTCGAGTCGGATCAGGAGGACCGGGTCGATCCGATGATTTACGTGTTCCCACGGATGACCAAGTGCACCTTCTACAAGTACGGTGTGAGCGGTGAGGTTGAGAGGCACGACGCCGTTTGCATACTGCCCCTGAACGTCGTCAACGAGAAGATATACGTTTTTCTCTGGTTCTGGTTCCTTTTTCTCGGCGTGCTCAGCTTCATCACGGTTTTATACAGGGTAAGAGTTAACTATCTTCTCGGTTAGATCTTTCAAAAAATATTAAATCGTCTGGAAAATACTTGTTACCGCTTTTCTGGAAATTGGAAAATTTCATTTTGTCAAAATCTTTTTTTTTTTAAGTTTCGTTCAGATCTCTTGTTTATTAATTTATTTCACCTTTGTTTTAGTAAAAATTTATTCAATTTGTTGGACTTTTCACAGATCGTAATTATATTTTCGCCGCGAACGAGGGTGTACCTTCTGCGACTGCGGTTTCGTTTAGTTAGAAGAGAAGCCGTGGAGACGATAGTTCGGAGGAGTAAAGTAGGCGATTGGTTTCTCCTCTATATGCTCGGCGAGAATTTGGACACGGTGATATACAGGGATGTGATGCACGAGCTTGCGAACAAACTCGCCTCGAGACACCATCACAGCGTGCCCGGGATCAAGGGAGAACTCCAGGAAGCCTGATCGAAGTGAGTATCCTTTTCAAAAAATTCCTATCCCTGTATTATACGTTAAAAATTCGAATTTTAGAATTCCTTCGAAGAATCTCGAATCTCTCCTTTAATTTCTTTCAGTGAATTCTACCAACCTGCCGAGTTTCTGCTAATAGTCCAAAAACAGTCTGTATTTTAGAGTGAACATCGGAAAAGTATTCTTGCGTGTGTTACTGTAACCGCGAAATGCTGTTATCAATTTTATCCGAACTACTGCTAGACTGTTTTGCATAAAAAAAATTTTACGTTGTACAGCCACTTGTGGCTAATACCCTCGATACGGAGCTTGTGCTGGGATAAACGCGGACCTAGTGAGCATAAATTTGCCGACAACAAGCTTTGGACATTAACACGTCCTCCTATTTTCGGCCGTTTAACAGCCACAAGCACTAGAGAGGGCTGCGTTCTGTTGAGTTTCAGTTTGAAATAACAGCATCGTCTTAAAAGCGACGCGTGCGAAACATCAGTTGTAAAAGGAAAGAATGAGGATGGTATATTTGTCGATTGACGCAACAGGCAAATCGATGTTGCACGCGATATCACCGAAACTGTATTACCAGTCTTTCGCGATTTTCGTCGTTTCTGAATTTTCTCGTGTGAATCTAATCGAATGATATCTCTCGAACGAGCATGTAGCGAAACAGGGGTTCCATAGTCTATCGTTAATGAAAATCCGATAATTGATCGACTAATTTTGTTCAATTGACCACTTTTACAGATTGCCTCGGAGAGCCACGGAAACGAGCATGATTCTCGAGGCGACGAGGATACTTTTTAAGAAGAAATGGGAGTGCAAAGGATGCCAAAGACGGAGATCCAAAGACGAGCGACGAAACAGAACGAATCACTTACCATTTACCACTCGAATCGTGTGCTTCCCCTTTCTGTATCTGCGCCACGATTCGAGAATTATACCCGCGAAGGGATGTTCGTGAGAAACGAATTCGTGTAAATCGTGTTCGCGTAAAAGACAAATTGCCAGCGTGCCTTGCGACGACTTAATCGATTTTCGAAGCATTTGCCGTGTACGTCACACTCGAATTTTTTAGGTAAAACAATTGTTAAAGAGACGAAAAACGAATTCGAGGTCACGTTTTGTTATGTATAATTGAAATTTTTCACGACCATTCGAGGGTCGAAAGAGACGGACCACTTTTTTCTAATTGACAAATCATCCGAAAAATCGATTAATTAGCTTCTTGAAAGAAGGCGAGAGAATGGTTTCTTTTCTATCTGCGAAATTTCCAAGTATCCTAGATGAAAAATTGGAAATATAAAATACTTCTGTATTCCTTTGTTCACCTAAAGTGTTCTACATCGTACAGTTTCGTTGAGAGCGGAAGGAGAGGTCGAAGCTCCGCCATTTTCTCATAGAACCCGTGTTATACACATTGGTAGGGATGCACGTTTTACAGCGAGAAGCATTACAACGTATTATTGTATTTTTTCTTTCACAAAGACTGTGCTAACGAACACGAGCCGGCGGATGTAACTTTTACCGAGACGACTCTTGAAATAAATGTATTTTTATTTAAAAGGTAATTTAATAAATATAGTTTATCGTATTGAGAACAGGGAAATGATGTATGCCAAGTCCTGTTAGACCAACTACCGATTAAAAAGTTTTATAAAAAACCTGTAAACTAGTTATTTTTATTGGTTCGATAATATTTTCCGGTTGAATTCGGAATTTTAATTTCATTTTAAGACATTTCTCGGCACACCCTGTATATCAACGACTGCAACTTATCACTTCCAAAGTCAAATCATCTCGAGTTAAGAAGCTTCGAAGAAATTCTACTCTTCATGTACGATACGTATATATATATATTTTTTTTACGAAGAATCAAACCGGAATTTCTGAGGAAAAAGGACATTTCTCAGGACACCCTGTATACCGATAGCCAGATTATCATCGGAAGCTTGCGATTTTGGCTGAGTTCCGTGTATACAGATTCGAGAGAAGAGGATCGTGGCCATATTCGGAAGCACGAGCAACCGGTCCATCGGTGCCAACAGTGCTGGCCACACTCGCGAAACACCAGCGGCTCTGAAAAAGGAGGCGGAGGTGAAGGCGCGTTCCTTCTGCGTAATCTGATCGAGAGCACTGGCATTTAAAGGATCCTTTATATCCTTTCACTGTCCACGCCGTTTGTCCAGGCAGTTCTTCGTGTCAATTACGTTCTAGTATCATTCTTCCCCCTCCTTAGGATCCTGTTATGGTAATTGCTCACCGATCGATCTTTCTGTTTTTCTTTTCTTTTTCCCTTTTTTTCGAACTTTCTCTACGCGCCCCTTCCCCAGCGTGGAAGGTTAAACGTGTTGAGTAACTCGTTACGTTTCGAGTTCCATTGTTCATACATGCGAGTACTTCGAGCTAACAAGGGAGCTGCGGTAACTCGAAAATTCCGATCTCTTTTTGGAAACTTTGCAAGTAGTTTATTGGGAGCCTCGATAGAAGTTTTTACAATTTCTATTGCACAGTTGTATAGAGCGTGCGAAACAATTTGACAAATGTACGTATTTCTTCTTTTTCTTTCTTTCCTTTTCTCTGAAGAGAGAAAAGAAAGAGATGGAAAGTTCGGATGTGGGTGTCCAAGGTCTTCAGCTTGCCATTTACGGCCGTATGCAAAACCGGACACAGAGAGCCACGACAATGAACGAGGCTGGGACGGATCTGAAAAGAGAAGCGTGTTTCGCTTTCAAAATCTCTATCTCGACGTTCACGCTTTGACATTTTTAAAATCGCTCATCGGTTTTTATATGAATAATCTGCGAAACATGACGGCCACTGTTGTACCATATGGTGATGTATATGGACGCCATTTACGCATTACGGCGGTCATTTACATTTACTTGATTCGGTATACTTCATATCTGTGTACAGATTTTGTTACAATTCTGAGATGAAATTGTAGGCTCTTATTTTTTGCCAGGTAACGTAACATTAGTCACATACTTGCATTTATTACATAACATGTCTGAACGATCGGAAGGTTTTTCAACAATTTATAAGCTAATAACCACTTTAAGAGTAAGGTACTAAAATGAACTATTTGAAATGTGAACATTCTGCTACTTGTGTAACCTTCGATTATCGAATAGGATTAACACGAACAAAAATAGAAATAATGAAAATTTCAGGTGAAATCCGTCGAGTTGTAGAAATATGTATAATCATGTAAGATCAGCATCTTGTACCACCGAGTTACATGACACCCTGTATAACAGTTGAGAAGCAGACTGTACAGCGAAAGAAGAGAGGGCAACATCGATATTCGGAATTCAGATGGAATCGTGCAAGCGAAGAGGAGCTGTAGCAAAAGCATGCAACTTGAACGAGGTCCTGCAGCGCGACATAAGGCCACGCACTCGCAGGCGTAAATAGGTGGGTGGTTGGTGGGTAGGCAGGAAGGATAGCCGTAAGGAAGCGAGTGGCGCGAGTTGCGTCTCTCTGTGCGTGTGCTGGCAGAACGAAGAAGGCAGCGTGAAGAGAAAGAGAGAGGGGAGACCGCTCGAGAGAAGAACCGCTCGAACTGGCTGTGTTAAGAGGTCTCTCCTGTCGCAGGTAAAACGCCGCCTCTGGAAAGTGAGTTCAGTCGCGGCCGCGCGATCGCGTTGGACGATATTTACCTGCGCGTGCAAACCTCCGATTCAGGGGCGTACCATCCGCTCAGTGAGCCTCGCGAGTGCCACGGACAACCGCATCCAACGCGCACACAAAGATAAGGTACGAGAAACCACCTGTTACGCTTCCCTATCTACGTACACACGACTATCCTACATTGCTGTTTTCTCACCATCGTTAACTACGTTATTACATACTACGTGTATTTCGAGGCAACATTGTCAGAGAAAACTAGAATCTGTCTAAATGGTCTTTTAACCTATACCTATATTCGGGATAACAGCAGTGAAACGTCAGTACAAGATCGAACGTGAATAGTTTCGAATGCTAGAACAGTAAGGATTGTTCAGCGCCTCGACACGGCTGCGTGCGCACGTTCATTGGAAAAAAAAAGCAGGCTCGTCCCCGTAGATGACGGCATCCACCCACGTAGATCAAAAATCTAGCCGCGAAAGTTTTGCCATTGAATTCGTTCGTGACACTCGACTCACGCCTCCGCGTGAGCCTCCAAACGTCACTCTCCCTCCTCTCTCGCTGCCTCCCTCTCTCTAATTCCTAGCTGGCAATGATTCGTGGATTTTCCATGCCGCTTTTCACTTTCTTGAAAAATTCGAATAAACTATTGCTGCGAATGTCCAATTAATCGAGAGGTTAATTCGACCAAGTATCCAAGCTATAAGAGACTCTCGTTGAGGAAAGAGAACGAATTATGTACTTCTTTAGAAATTGTTATCAAGCGTACCATTGTACATCTTAACAGTGTCTCCGCTATTGAGATGTGCATTTGGATGGAAAGTAGCTGTGTCGCGTAGAAGAATTAATTACTTTCACTGAAACGGTTGAGAAAAACGATCCGGTTGGTCCGGCACTGGATGCAAGAATCCGTGTGCGTGTGTCTCGCTATTATACGGAACACGAGGCGTCGTGGAGGTCCGCGGAGGTTTCGCAGCTTCTACATTTCGGCCGCAAAACGACGAAACCGCGCGGATAAACGAGCCGACCGAGTCCGGGTCCCGCCCCCCGTCGAAAACCGGTCCTGCTCGCGGCCGCTAGCCGATTTTGCCTGGCAAACACACGCGAGTCGCCATCTTGGATCCGCCGGGGATGACGTCATTGGTACAAGGCACGGCTGCCTGCCGCTTGCTCAATTCTAGCTGCAGCTAGAAATGGAAACACGGACCGTGTTCGATACCAACGCTTCGATATTTCGTTCCATGGATTTTCTTACACCCGTTAGATTCGATCGTTCGATTTTCGTGATTTTCTTGATATATCGAAACCACGGTGGCTGTTTTCATCAAAATGAAAATATCGACTTTCTTCGAACATTGCGAATCTATGTGTACTTGTGTATAACGAGTACTATATAACGAGTGATCGAACAATGAACTGTTACTCGACGATCCTACGCCTATGCGTTTTCTGCAATTTCAGCCGATGTAGCATAACAAGGATTCTTCTCTTACTTTCCTCGCATTATTGAGATTGTTTTGAATTATCACTGTAAGTTATCTTCATCGACCTGAAATTAATATCTTTTTAACGGATTTGTTATAAATTAGTTTAGGTAAAATAACAGTGGAATGCAACATAAAACCAATAAAATCGTTTACAGTGAAGTTATCGCACAAAGTTCTTGTATTTTTAACACGCTTAAATTATAAATTTGATAAAGAAAGAATATTATATGTAGATGAAATTATAAATATTTACTATATGTATTTTCCATTCTCCAAATAAAGTGCATTCTTCGAAACTTTCTTGAAAGGAAAAGTTATTTAAATTCGCAGCACGAACGTTTACCTTGACAATGAGCAATTGTCAAAAGTCATATACTATAGTACAGAAGGATTGCCTCACGTTCACGTCGTGACAGTGATCTTAAGTGCTCTCTTCTTAGAATCTGAATCGTGCAATTTCCTGTCTGATTGTTTTAATAGAGTGAAGCGTACATGAAAGTACATGTGTTTCACATATTTTAAATAATATTTCTGGAGTACATATCTTGCACGCATAATGCACCAAACTGTGAAAATTTCTCTGTAACAATCTTGTTGTGTAATCGGAACATACGAAATTATATAATCAAATTTTCACTTGAACTTTGCGATTTTATACCGCTGCACTTCGAAATATTCAAAAATTTATATAACGTGTTGCAATAAAATACCAAAATTAATATTGAATTTTATTCATTTATTACTTGAGAGGATAAAAATGAAACCGTATAAAAACCTGATTGCCGAATTGATCGTTCCACAATGCGTAAAACTTTCACTACAACCTTCAGATTTAATTGCCGTTCCATTTAGCATTTTCGGCGTGGCACAACTTTATATATGTATTTAATACCTGTTACGAACATTATGCGATGTAAAATAAAACTACGTAAATATTAAACAAGAAGTAACAAGAATATATCTTGATCAAATGTCTAAACACATATGCACATCTGTATTCCGAAGCATTTATGAAAAATATTTGCTTGAAGATAGTTATTGATAATTCGATCGATCGATCGCTCAGAAAAATCGATTCTACACCATTCTCTCTGTGCCTGCTTTATAAAAAGTGTTCGTGACGTCGTAGTTTTCTATCGCGTAATTTTGAGGTTACCGCGATTTTTCTGTAGCTGTCGTTACTATTAAACATTACCAAAACCTATTTGAAATTCATCCCAGCACTAGGTCTACTCAGCAATCGATGAAATAAAGAAAAATGTACAGAAAGAAATACCTTTAGCGAATCATATGAATACGAAATTGTAGAAGCACGTTTCCATCGATTTGCAGCATGGATCGTGCAAGGGCACAGAGCGCATGCACGAGCCAGTGTTTCGCGTGTGCGTCGTGGCCAGTGAAAGTAGAGTGTTTGCGCAACGAGACGACGTCGTTGTCTCCTTCAGATACTGGTTCGACTTTAAAGGCTCGGTGTCTGTCTCGTAGACTTTCAACCGGGCCGGTTGTTAACGTCACTCTTATTGCACGTTCACCATCTTCGTTTTTCCGACGAATCGATATTTTTCTCGGGTTTATTTCCCTTCTGGCGTTGCATATCATTTACGGAACGCCTTGCGTGCTCCTACGGTATTCATAACGGCAGCCTAAGATCTGCTCTAAAAAAGGAAGCTTTCCGAACGTTTGCGCGTGAGCGTAATGAGAAATACGGTTAGATTCACGCATTTTTCTCATGTACATAGTGTGTTTGCAATTGTAGAAAACCGGCCCAATATATTCTACTGCCCTGCGCAAAACAAGGCGAAATTTACATTTTGCGTTTTATCCTTGAAAATTGATCATAAAAATTTCTAGTTACTTTTGTCCTTGTTAATATTTTTAAACATTATACGGAGTGATATAAATAATGAAACAGGTTCTTGCAACATTAATACAATAATAATACAACTTTTTTTTTACTTTTCTACGTATTTGTTACTTTCCAATCGAATCTAGTGAAAAATGTAAATATTAAAATTTGTGTACTTGAAAAAACCGTTTAGATATTTATATAATATATACTATCCTGTGTTCTGTATTTGTAAAACTTATCGCGGTGCGTGCATTCGACATTCTTATTTTCAAGGTTATCGTAGCGAAACGGTGAAGTTAGTATTACTGAATGCTAGTAATAACTACCAGTGAATGTGATATTTCAGCGAATTTAAAACGCACTAAATTATTTCTACACGAAGTGTTGGAAATATATCTCTGTTTCACATTTCTCATGAATAATTTACAGGTTTGGTAAGCAGGTGGAAAAAGGTTAGACAAATTCGTAAAAATGATCAAGAATGGGTTAGCACTGTTAAAAAAATGAATAAAATATGGTATACTATATGAATTTGATCGCATGTATTCAGTACACCGTGTAATTGTCCAGTGAGTTATTCGAAGAAAAGGCGTCGCGACTGTCAGGAATCGTCTTGTTGATCACGTTCTAAGTCGGCACGTCGATTCTACACGCATTTTTCGTGTAGGAGCTGCGTGTACGTGGTCGCAATTGACGATCCGAACGTGGAATGTCGTGATACACCACTCCCACGATTGTTTCTTCTCGATAATAGCGCGAGGTCGACGCATCTTTCGTTCCCGATATTAACTTCAGCTCTAGCTGCAGAAGTCACACAAATTCCAGTGCAATTTCACTGGGAAAGCTAGGCTGAAAGGTATGAGAATTGTTGCTTGGAATGCTTTTGAAAGATTGATAAAAAGGAAAGGAGAGAATATACATATATGAGAATGGGAGCTTTATGAGAATTTTTGGAGAACGCTTTATTGCCTCCTTCCTCACGTTTTACATGTGTGATATGCGATATTATATTGTTTCGCGAATTTTTACTTTACGAAATTTTTTCCCACTATTTTCGAGGCAGTTTAAAATTGTTTTATTTGATATTTCTAAATTCTGTGTACTTTGGTTGGTGTGTGTGTGTGATATTTAAAAATGCTAATATAGACAGATTTAATCGTTGCTTTACTTATAATTTGAGATACTTTAAAATTATTCAATTATTTCATAGAATTTTATCTCTCACTATAAGTAAAATTTCAATGTATGTATATAAATTCAAATATTGACAATTATTATGATACGGTCAGATATAAATGTGTTTATTTAAACGTTGATATCATTTTTTCCTCAACTTCTCCAAATTCTTTCCTTTTCCTTTGCTTCTCTTTTTTTAAACGATATTTCGGAATGTTTGTTATCACACATACACACGCCACGTTAAGCTGAAAGAATCGGTCGAGGTCTCTGCGAGGAGTGATAGTTCATGCATGTAGGTGAGCACAGGACAGGAAACAGTCGAGGTCGATATCGCGTCATTCTTCATCTCTCTAAATCATGGAACGATCTACAAATAAAAGAGGAATAATTGAAGCTAACTGCAAGCTGTTCGAATGTAAAATTTGAAAATTTTTTTCTATTTCTAATATTTTAAGTACAGCAGACTAGTTCAATCGGTCAGATTTATATCAACTAGTTCAATGAATAACAAAGAATGAAATTATTCGCTTGCATTTTCAGATCACAGGCATGTGATTGCCGTAGCGAGGCAGAATCGAGGGACAAGGGGAAGAGATTGAAATATTTGCGCAGCTAAAGCAATAAACGTAAGTGTAATAAAAATTCCAAAAAATTTTCCTTCTTTCCCAACATGTGAATTTTGTATATAAATAGAATTTTGCAAAAGAAGAAATTGGCGTGACAATGTCATTTTGAATTTTTCATATAAAATTATTTCAAATTTATCAAGTTCTGATTAGAGTGACTCAAGTTCAGAAATTTAGGAAACAAGCGAAAACATCGAAGAACTCTTACATGAACTCGTTATGGAAGAGGAAAAAGAAATGCAGAATGACGCATAACAAATTAAATGATATTGAATGGAAGTAAAAATTCTTCAAAATTATTCAAAATTAATGTAATTTTTAATATCATTTCCATTTAAATATATATTCAGTGCACTACAAAAATGAGGTTATGTTTTTTTCGTTCAATATATTTATAAATACCTAATGAAATCGTTCCTATGGGTGACGTGACACTTAAAGTGTTAATTGCATACTCATCAGATTCAATTTCTAACTGACGAATGATTAACACTGGTCAAATTACATTTTTACACGTGAAAAAGTAGTGGTTAGTATGCATAGCGTCCTTCCTTATCCCAACTCCTCGCGATTCATCCGCAACATCCTTCTCATACCTTCTTCGAGGAGGAGGAGGGTAACAAACTAACTAGAAAGTCGGCAAGCAGAAGGACCGTTTTTCACGAGGGTCACGAGCTAAGATGAACGTTTATCCGTGCACGCGGAATGACGATCATTAAAGGATCAAATTTCTTCCGTGTTGCGTGTTCCTAGATCGCGTTTAGATGACGCGACACCACTCGTGTGCTTTGTAATGGAAATGTTGCGCAACTTGCACGCTTCGATACTTCCTACCTTATCCCCGAAACCCTCAGCTAGACTCTCGTGCGCACGCGCGAACGAAAGTTCTGCCACGCTTCGATGCGCGCGCACCGTTATATGCCGCGTAAATGCTCCCTTTACACATAACCGCTAACAAATCACACAACTCCGCGACATTTCATTAAATGCAATGATATTTTCGCTATTAGTATTACAGCACTGCCTCTCTCAAATCTGGGCAACTTGAGAGGGAGGTAGGTATTCCGGGAATTGACCGTTACTATTCTGAACAGCTCCAGAATGAACGAGAGAACTAAAGAACAACGTTAAAAATAGGCGAATTTTGATTTTCATCAGGAGTGAAAAATTCTTTCACACCGTGATTCAACATGTTCTAAGGAATGAGAATTTAATAGTCATTTATCCAAGAAGTGATGATAAACTTATGTATATGATGAGTTCCGACAGATGTACCGTAAATGGGATTCAAAGAAAGCGCGGTGCGAGACGTAATTACCTGGAATTTTTCAGGTATTAATATCTCACAAAGCCTACATTCGTTCATTTACTTGAAAAATCAATTGGCACTCTTTGCTTTTCGTTTAACGAACATCAAACTTAAACTTGATGTCTAAAATTTAATTACAACACTGTTTCCAATTTTAGCGAAACGTTTCAAGAACATACTTTCGAAAGCAGTAGAAAACGCAATAAAAATTCAACCTAACCTAACCTAACATTAAATCACTTCAAGAATCGACATTTCGCTATACTGAAAGTGTTATATACACAGCTTACTTAAACAGTTAACTCAGAAGTCATCCTCGAGTTAATCATTGACAAGTGACTGGACTTAAAATATTCTTCCTTGTTTGTCGTTCGTCATCCTATTGGATCAGCGCAGAAAATGCTAATGCTTGCACGTGGCAAGGTAAATTCAGCCCTGGTGACGACAGTAGTGAATCATACGCGTACACATCATCCAGGAACATCACTATTTACACGCAGAACTAGAACTATTACCGTACTCGCGAATAATCCGGCGTATACTATAGCAAACAACGAGCAACACGTGGTCCGCTTTGTATGCAAATCAGATCCTCCTGAATGGATGTACATAAAAAGGCAGTTCAAAGGAAAGCCACACGCTAATTTTAATGAAATGTTGCTTTAACGAATGTAAATAGATAATTGAAACGTAAGACAAAGAGAATTTATAGAGCACGTAACAAAAACTGAAGTTGTAGTAACGATTAAAAATGAAAAAAGGTCACTGTTTTTCTTTTTATTCTGATAAGACACAGGATGCTTTTGATGTTTTCCGTTATTTCAAGAATACAGAATTTTTTATTTCGATTAAAGTAAATCTTTTTCGCTTTCCAGATGCTGCCAAGATTGCTGACAATGCTCTGCACAGCACTTCCGGTAGTGCTGTCGCAGAGCAATTATGCGTCGCAAGGTAACAGCATCGAATATCAACCAGGCTTGCCACCGAGCACCGTGCTGAACGGCAAGGTGACCAAACTGGACGACATCTCGTCGATGATATTTCTGAATCGCACGAAGGCGTATCTGAATTGTAGCCAAGGCAGCATGCAGGTTGAATTGAAGTTCGAGGAACCGTTTTACGGCGTCGCCTACGCTGATTTCGATCGTAACAGCGCCTGCATATTCAAAGGACGAGGTTCGACCAGTGCCAAGTTGGAACTACCTTTAAAAGGTGAACATGATTTCTCTCCCTCTCTCTCTTTCTTGCATTCTTTCTAGGATTTATTAGACAGGAATTTGTACACATTTTTTTTCTTTTGGAATAAAGTGTGATAAGAGAAGTTTATACCTTGCATAGTATTTTTATCTATGGTTAAAGTTGAGATCACTTTTGAATCTTGATCATTGTTCAATATTATTGATACTTCTCTATTTCTTCTTCACAGTCTCCGTATGCGTGAAACCGCAAAACTGAGGTAAACTGTAATTACAGGAGCGACCTTAAACTGCAAAAACACGTAGAGTTTCTGCTTTAACCAGAGAAAATCTAGCAGATACATTTGAAAAAAAAAGAAGGAAACTTGGCGTAAATTACGCGTCGTTCGTCGGAAATAAAACAAACAACCAATATGCACGGCATAACAATAGAGTCCCGAAGCTGATCCGATAAAAAGAATAGAATGAACGGTATAATGGTTTATTGTTACAATTTTATGAACATAGTTTCTTCATCAACTGTTAAATAAACTCTGGTCACATTTCTAAAACCATGCACCATGACTTTTAGATTTGCCAAACTTAGCTAAATCTAGTTTTACTCATCTAATTGTCAGCCAAAAAGCTCTCTCAAAGTTAGCTCGAAAGTTTTTACAACGACTAAAAGTTGACTAAAGTTGACCTGAAATCAAAGTGGATATTTCAGCACTACTCAGAAGCGTTTAATATCCATTGATGTTGTAGGATGCGGCACGAGGCAGGATCCTCAACGCGTGTTCACGAACAACGTTGTAGTTCGCTTCCACCCTGGCCTAGAAATGGACGGCGACGAAGTTATTACGATAGTTTGCAGATACCCTCCTCCTGTGGCGCCTGCACCACCTGCTCCTCCCGCTAGCATGTGAGTTTCTAACAGGCGAAAAAGAACCAATTTACTTCTTATCCCATCGCAACAAACACAGGAAATTCCCCTTTCTCGAATATACGCTCTCTTACGTTGCTTGATCGCTGAAGAATCAACACGAACATCCCCGGAAAAGATACCAAATTGGTATAAATAATTTTTAGATTGGCTACGCTGGCGCCTGCACCGTTACCCGAGCCACCGCTCAAGGGATTCCAAATTCTTCTGATTATCTGCGCGATCCTGTTCCTTTCGTTGCTGCTGCTTGGCCTCGGTTGCTCGTACATGTGCCTGAAACGTAGGAACGTTCGCGTGATCCACCGACATCCATTCGGAAGTGGCTCAGGCTCCGAGATAACGAAACTCTCTACGTCTTCCCTGAGCAATATCACCATGTTCGAGGGCCTCAAGATACCCCGAGCTCACGCACTTCTGCATGCACCTCCCTCTACTACAGGCAGCGACGCCAACTTAATGATCGACCACTCGTTACCCAGCGATTATCCGAGCGAGAGCTCCGAGGTGAGTCCGTCGATACAATCCATCCATTTTTCACAATTCCCAATAACGAATGTACGCAACAAATCTGCAATGAGGTGAAAAAGATGTACAGAGAAACTTCAGACGCAGTCCTGAAGATATTTTTATAGATAAAACTTCCCAATCGTTGAAAATCGAATTTATTTGTTCTTACAGGTGGACGAAGAACCCTCGTTACCTGTCTCCTCAGCCGGTTCCTACGACAACAAAGCATTCGTCCATCACGAGACACATCAGCGTCAAGAGATGCGCACTACAAGCTCCCTCTACTCCGAGACAGTTGCCGCTGAAGTGGAAACATCCTCCATGACAGCTGCAAACGCTTCCAGAAGCGGAGTTCCACGCCACATGGTAGCAGGAACAGTGGAACCGAAATTCGATGTTCAGATGCGGGTGAAGAGAGCACCGCCCCCTCCACCAAGCCCTCTACCATCAGAATCCGACGTTGCAAGTGTCGCATTGGAGAGAAACTTGACCACCATACTCGAGAAAGAGGAGTGCAGTCTAACTCGCAGTCTGGAAAGTCCTCCAGCCAGGATGACTACCTTCTCCTATGTTCCTGAACTCCATGGACCTCCTGGAGCAACCTCTTCCACATCCACCATCTCCAGACAGCAAACACCGCCTGTTTATTCGAGAATCTTGAGGAAACAAGCTGAAAGGGAGACTACGACCAGCACCAGTTTGATTCAAGACCAAATTCTATCTCCTTCTCCTGTGGAACAAGTTCCTCTTCCTCTTCAACATCACGAGATTCGTAGACCTAGATCTTTGACCTCCTTGAACACCGAACTAACGGAAACGCGATCTCTAACGGAAGTGACGGACCACACACACGCCAAGTACAGAGTGGCCAGCATCCTGGCACCGACACCTCCTCCACCTCCTCCAATTGTCCCCACTGTCACTACCACTCACACAGCTGTACAGCATCGCGAGCATCGTTTATTCCGCGAAGAAGTGACTGAACCTTTGGTAGAGCCACAGGTAGTTGCTCCCAGGCGTCCAGAGATCACTACTCACGAAGTGGATGATGTATTCTTGAAGACAGTGACGGAGAAGAAGACTATCGAAGACGTAGAACGACATCGTCGCCAGGTGACTGAATATCGAGCTAAACCACCGCCACCGAACCCCAAATGGGACGTGACCATCAGAAACTACCCCAAGGAGAATCTGCCACCTCCTCCTCCAGAATGGGAGAACTTTTCAGACGTCAGTTCCAACTCGAACCTAACGATCACGAACGAACCTACAGGAAACCAGGCTGACGTGGCTGTCGACGAGGAACCTGATATCAACATCGAGCCAACTTATACCACCAGAGCTGAGATACCCTGCAGACCTCCTCCTCCAGTCACCCATCGTTCCGTCGACGAAACGGATTGGTTCAGTAGATTGTCCCGCGTGCTGGACCCACGATACGCCACCGAATTCACAGAGGACGAACGAGCGAAATGGCGCGAGATTATCACCACAAATAGCACTCTGAGGACCCTGTTAACCGAGGCTGTGGTGAAGGAGGATTACGAATTAATCAGAAAAGACGCAAGATACACGAATTTGTTCCCACCGGCAAAGTGGGATGTGATTATACGAATTTTAGGTCCTCCTTCGACACATCCAGGCTCCACATCATCTTCGACTCATGGAAAGAATCACGGACTTAGGTACAAGAGGTCCAAGTCCTCCGAGTGGGACACCAGGTCCAGAAGATCCTCGTTGCCTACACTGTACGAATACGAAAGCGATGGAGGAAGCTCTACTCGCACCCAGAGCCACCGATTGCAGATGTCTCAGTCGAGTACAACAGTGGGCCAGTCGAATCGACTACGAAGATTAGGATCAAGTCACAGAGGCACAGGTGGCGCTAGTGAGGTGGACGTAAGGTCCATGTCAGAGATGACTGTGAGAGACTTCGCCAGGGTTGACAGGGATGACCTGACGAGTTTGAGTTCGTTCGAGGGAGCAGATTCGCTAGTGAGATCCCTGAGCCAGCCTAGCCTGGCTAGAAGTGGCTCAGAGTTCACCGAACACTGGGGAATCCCCTCTGGGATGCTTGATCTCCCACCCTGGGCAGCTGACGAGGAAGGGACAAGCTCTGTGGAGACTACACCCAGAGTAGTGAGGAGAAACGATCGTTTGGAGGTTCTAGCAGCGTTCGACGATCGCAGACAAGGCTCTCCGGCTACTAAATCGAGTCGATACATCGAGAGGGAGCTGAACAGTGTGCACGTGGAGAGCCAGAGGAGCTCGAACTGGTTCCACGATGACTCTGAACCGGAGATGCAAATCTGAGAGCATTCTTTCTGGAATCGAAAACGAGGAATCTGATTGATGGATTGTAGTAGAGGTCGTGAATATTAAATGGTCAAGGAACGGTAAATTTCACCGTGTTCTACGATTCCATGTGAAAAAACGGTTGAAATTGGTTAGATACAGGACACCCTGAATTTTCTTGCATTTTCGATATTAATTTGTACGTAAGTAAGTAGTCTTGTTTCAAATAGTAAGCGAGTAATCGAGAGTAAGCATTGAACGAATGGATTGTTTGGATATTTTCTGTATCGACGTATCTTTGAAAGTACGAAGTTCGAAAATGTACAAATTCCAATCTACTAAATTGAAATGCTTAACTAAATGGGTCCTTGAGCAAGAAATACTCGTGGCCTCTATACGACGATAACTTTTCGACAGGCATCGTTTTTCTTCATTTGTCCCTTGCTTTATTAATCACGACGCTTACAAGGTCTGTTTTATTGTAACGCAAGTCCTGACAAAGGACGATTGGTCAACGTTCACTGCCAGTTCCTTGCATTTGGCAGATCGGTACTCTTCATAAATATCGAAGCGTTGACTGTGGAATTGAATCGGATCATCTAGACATCAAGAACCGGTGCATACACCATTTTTTAATCTATCATGAAAGTTAAACAGTCAACGCGTCGATGAAACGGACAGCCATTCTCTCCACTTGCCACTCGAAACCTATTCAAAAGTAGAAGAAATCGAAAGGAGCGAGGAGAAACGAAATTAAGAAACGAGTGGAACTGTAGACTCTGGCGAAACGATCGAATTAAACGATAACTAATAGGAATTAACTCGTGACAAGTTAACGAAGTAAGTTTACAATTAACCATGCAAAAAATTCGCTTTCCTAACGATCGATGGCCGAATGGCATATGTCGAGGATCTCTACGATCATTGGAAACCACCATGACATTTTCAATAATATTTAACATTTTCGCTGGGAAATCTTGATTGGAACGTTAATTCGTATTTTTCAATATTCTAATTTAGAAGTGCAAATTTTTTTTATTTACCGATATTTTCCGTCTAATTCAACCCTTTGCCCTTTTACACTATTAAATATTTGGGATTTTTCAATTTTTCCTTAGAATTCTCGGAAAACAGCTGTGTAAATAATAATCGCAAAAATGATTTCGAGACGAATTTCACTTAGCGGTGATATAAAAATTAGGTAACAATAATATCCAATTAATTATAATATTTATGTCTCGTCAGACGAACAACCAAAGCAAAAAAAGAAGTATTTACTTCGTGCACACTAAAAGGCATTTAATTTCGTACGATATACAGCAAAATCATTAATTAACATTGCTTTATAATTCGCCTGTGTCCGCAGGCATACCTGGAACAGAACAGCAGACATTGTCTGCGCCTGACAGGCGCACTTGGAGTGCAAAGGGTTAATATTTAACTAAAGAATATGCTTGTCTACTTAATGGAAGTTTTGCTTCCTGCTGCATACTCGTGACTCGCCATTAACGAACCACGTTAACGTTACCTCTTCACAAAGGAAAGTTATTTCTTCATTTCACCGAAATAAGTAAACCGAGCAATTATTCGAATAATTCAAATATTTCTCCCGAACTTTCTGATTAAATAAAAAAAAAAAAAGCAAAAATTAAAATTCTACTTATTCGATCAAATCGAAAGAAGTTCTCATCGAAATCACGGAAGAAATGTTACTCTCTGTCTTAAATTCTATTTCAATTGCCACAGATCGCAAAGGAGAACAATCACAATCGAGTTATCACGGTGTTTCAGATCACAATGTGTCTTCGATGATATACACAGTGTGGTGCAGCCTTCACAGCACCGAAGACGAAGGACAATAGGAATGAATATGGCGGCAGTATACGAAGTTAGCGAAAGTGTTAAATGTTGGTGGTCGGTGGTGGCGTCGCGATAATAGTCTGTTTAAGTAGGTAATGAAACATACGGTGCTGGGTTATACGCTTGAAACAATAGCTAGGACTTCCCTTCTTCAAGACGTACTTAATCTTCTCTCTCAGAGTTTCGTGTATCCCAATACGTATAGGAGCGTGTATTGCTGCTCCTGGAGAGATATCGACCGACGCTACGTACACGTGAATAGATAGTTTATTCGCAATTATGTACTTATAAAACAGGGTATCTCGCGAGGTGTGCATGTAAGGAGCTCCTGAGCCACAAATAAGACGTGAAACGGGAACAGTACCCTCCTCTACTCCCCCCCCCCCCCCCCTATTCAGTTGTCAATGATCGAATGACTAAAAATAAAAATTCCACTTATACGATATTTTTTATGAATTTTTTCTATATATTTTTTATGCTTTACGTTACGTCGAGGTAGTTTTAAGAAAAGTGAACTTTCTGTTTCTTTTTTTTCTTGTCTTTTCTTTTCTCCTTCTTTTTTTGGTAACTCTATGGATCGTTGATTACTGAAAAATGTCATTCGTGATTCAACGGTACGGCGCTGGAACTGTTTTATTTCTGTTTCAGGATCTAGAATATAGAGGGTGGTTCGTTTTAATCGTTTCGTGCAGCTTGAGAAATGGTTTCGCGATACGGAAAAAGAGAGAGATACTTCAAGCTGGATAAATGTTTCCTACTGAATGCTCGTTATTATCACGAAATGTCTCTGACAGAAATTAAACGAGCTGCTTGTCGGTTATAAGATTGTACAAAGATCGAACGAAATTAGACGAATTCGAATGTTTCAAGTGAAATATCAAAAGTCTAAATATATTGTAGGTAATATTGAAAATTTCTATTCGTACCAAATTAGTAATCTTGAACGCGACTTGAATGATTTATAAATCGTCGAAATGCGATCTCTATGAAATAATAAGAATATACTTGCAAATAAAATTCGGTACTTGAGAAATTGTTGAAATCGAGAAATTTTCCTTTTTTTTTTTCTTAAATTACCTTCGACAAAGCTGTTTAAAAAATTCTGGAAAACCTTGAAACTGATGAAACACTTTTCGATCCGGAAGGGTCACGGCATGTCCTCCGGGAAAATTACCTCTGGTACGAAACACTTATTTGAATAACCAACAATTTCAAAAGCTAATCGCGTGGAAAGATTAAAATGGGACACATAATGTGTACATCTAGGTGTATTAACAGAGTGTAATCGTTGCTACGAAATAATTTTCCGTCCAATTAATTCTTCCGAACCGAGAATTTTCCGCGCTTCGTTCATTGTTCTTTTCTTTTTTTTTCTCTCTCTCTCTCTCTCTTTCCTTTTTATACGAAAGAAAGATGTATCGAACGATTGACGAGATCTTCCGAGCAATATGTACAGGATATCCATAAAGAAAATAACTTTTTCTTTGTTGCTCTTCTTTTTTGGGGAAGAGGAAGAAGAAGAAGTTATCAAGAAGCTGTTAGATTTAAGCGCGAAGAGAGTATTAAAACTATGAAAGAAAATATCGATGTTTCTTCTTTAGTCCTGGTCTACTGAACTCGTTCTCTGTGCAGTGGGATTTTGTTTTTTTTTTCTTTTTCGAAAATCACGAATTTTGTATTTTCACCAGAGGAGTTCACCGAATTCTTTACCGACAGAGTTGAAAAAACTGTATTCGATCTTATGAAAAAATAAATTTTCAAAAACGAACTGAAATCCATTGAAAATTATGTATATATATACATATATCTACATTTGAATCGATTTTAAATGAAATTCTTACCATGTAACTGAAGCTCGAATTTCAAAGTCTGTATATACATATTCATTATCACCTAATATTATAAGTGCCATTTCGCTTAATAAAAATGCTCATTCAGGTCTAATCTTTCCCTCTCAAATATCAATTTTTCATAATTCGTACACAATTTGAAAATTTTCTGCCGAACCGATTCCATCGTTTCGCTCAGCTTAAATTAATTATCGGAATGTAAAAACGTTGAAGGCAACATTTTCGACGTTCGAGTATAAATTTCAAAGTTCCTCGCGTATTATAAAACGTTTCGTTCTCGCGATACCGAAATTTACACGCACGGAATTAACGTACTCTGTACTTCCAGACGATGATTCGTTTGAAAGAAACGAACGTGTTTTTCTGCCACAGTGTAAATCGTACTTGACCCCTTCTCGAAGAAGGGGAAAATAAACGGGTGTAAAATAGGGAGTAAAATGTATCGAAGGTGAATGAAGTGATTAAAAGAGGTAGCATAATCGTAGCAGGTTTTTCACGATTGACCGGGTGCCTTCGCTGGAGGAGAAGAATAAACGGTATAAGCAATCAACCCAGTTAGTTTAAGCGCAAAAAGCTCGTGCCTCGAGGAATCAGCAGATAAGTGACGTCAAAAAACCGTCGATCTATATCTTTGTACTCTAGTAATCGCGATTTTATTAAAGTATATTCCGACAAGGCTGGCTTTGCCAGCGTCTCAGATAGAGGAACGTAGATCACAGGTCATAAACGTCGTCGTAAGTGTCCCTCCAAAATATTCTTATCCCACCGTCTTGTTACAATATACGTGACCGTCTATCGAAAAATTGGCTCGAATTTTAAGGTCAGCTTTGCAACACGAACGATCGGCTAAAAGCAAACTTTTCCCTGTTAAAACTGTGATTGTACATTTTATCGTCGGTTCTCCCGTCAATTATTTGTACAAGATGAGAAAAAATTGTGGAAATATCGATAACTTAAGTAATCTTTACGTTAGGATAGCAAATACAATCCTCGTTGATTCCTTTTTTTTTTATTTCATTGTTAAGGTAACTTCAAGGTTTGAAATTTTTAAAAAATTAGTTAGAATTTAAGTTGAAATCTCCGTTCGGTAGAATTGAATTGAACGTAATTTTCCAAAAATTTCTGAATTTTCGAGAGAAATATTAGCGATAGGAATGAGAGATTTGCAAGGTCCACGGTGTTAGAAAAAAGTAGTCGGTGATTACTGCGCCGAAGAGTTTCCGTGATCGATTTCCGGTAATCGAGCGTGACAGAGAAAGGACACGGTCGCGGCGTTGTTTTTCCGAAAACAACGCTCCACGCAAGAGAATCGGCGCGGAGCGTCGCGAGGGCGACGCATGCGTTTTTCCGCACGCGCCGCGCTGCTTTCACCGTTCGCGGAATAATCTTGGCCCTGAATCGAGCAGAGCAGTCTTCGACAAACGACACGATCGCGCCCCGCGTATTCCTGCGTTCATCCTCGCGCCGATTGATAACGTTTCGGGAACACCTCGTGGCTAGTGGATATCCTTCTATGTTCAGAATACATGTTGAGAGACAAATCGTTCCGTTAAGCTTCGCTTACGTCTCCTTCCTCGATCTACGAACGTTCGTTCGATTTAGTTCGAGATGTTCGATTGATCGATCTATGGATCGGCCGAAGATTGAAGTTTCGAACTTTTTCTTCTTTTGTACGTATTGGTGAAGCAAATTGGTATTTAATGAAATTGTAGAAAATAGATTTTTGGGAAAATGTGCCACTACTCTGGCGAATAGAACGTGAAAACTTCCAACTTTGTGACAGTTTGCTTAATGGTACAATTGCCTTGGGCTAATTTTCAGCTGCGAAGGAAACAGTGAAAGCCTTACAATGTGTGGTTACTCGGAACATAATCGATGACTAAGGACTGAAAAACACATGGGAGAAATTAAGTTGTTTATCGAGGAAAAGAAAATAAGTCCTAAGTTTTGTGACACTTTTTTGATGGATTGAAATTAATATTCATAAATGTTTCACTGACACTGATACTTGGAAAGTTATGAAAATTGAAAGGGAGCCTTAAACTCTAGCTATCTATTTAGAGGTAATTTAATATATATATATGTAATATCATTACCATAAATGACAGATTAAGATTGATGCTAATAACGCATGCTCGTCTTATACAAAACACGTTATAAGAAATTCAGCAATTTTCTAAGAAAAAGGAAAGTGTAATCTCCAAGCCCTGTTGCCTCTCTTTTGAACAAAATTTATTATTTCATTACTAAAACTGTTCTCCTTTGAAATACTTAAAATATTTCAATTAGCTATGATTAAATTTTCAAATATCTAGTAGTTTTCTTCAACTCTGTACAATTCTTAAGAAAC